TCCTTCCTTCCTTCCTTCCTCCTTTCTTTCTTTCTTTCTTTCTTTCTTTCTTTCTTTCTTTCTTTCTTTCTTTCTTTCCTTTCTTTCTTTCCTTTCTTTCTTTCCTTTCTTTCTTTCCTTTCTTTCCTTTCTTTCATCTTTTTGAGACAGGGTCTTGCTGTGCAGTTCAGGCTGGCCTTGAGCTCACTTTGTAGCCCAGGCTGGTCTCTAACTCACAACGACCCTCCTGCCCTAGCCTCCCAAGTGCTGGGATTACAGGCATGCACCACTACCCCCTGACGACATGGTTTTTTTTTTGGTACCAGAAATCAAACGGAGGACCTTGTGCTTGCCAGGCAGGCGCTTGCACCGCTGAGCTATATCCCCGGCCCGACATTTCTTATTCCGTGCAATTTCACACATTTGTGAAAGAACAGCAAAAGGGATCTCTTTCTATCCTCCACTGCAGAGTTGCAGCAGTTGTCAAAGCATGATCTAGCTTATTCACCTGTCCCCTCCCCTTGCAGAGATTATTCAGAGACATCCCGGACATTTCACTCCACATTTGGAATCGTTTCTGCCTCTCTCCTCCCTCCCTCCTTCCTTCCAGCATTTCTCCCTTTGTTTCATGATGCTGGGTATGGCACCCAGGGCCTCCTGCATGGTAGGCAAGTGCTGCAACACTGAGCTGCACCCCTAGACTCTTCTAAAGAGACTATCTTGAGCGTCTGGGGATTTAGCTCAGTGGCACAGCGCCTGCCTGGCAAGCACAAGGTCGTGAGTTTGATTCCCGGTACCAGGAAAAAAAAAAAAAAGAAACTGTCTTGAGACCGTTTCACTAAGTTGTTTAAGCTGGTGTGGACCTTGTCGTCCTCCTATCTCATCCTCCTCAGTAGCTGGGACTACAGGCACATGCCACCATGCCAGGCAGGTCTTACAATTTCTTTGGATGTCTGAGTGGCAAGCAATTAAAGGTTCTTTTGAGGAGGGGATGTCTTTGGGGCAGGGACTGAGCTCTCATTTACTAATTTTACTTAACTAATTTTTTTTAAGTTTTACTTAAGTTTTGAAAATTGTTGGGCTAGGGATATAGCTCAGCAGCACAGTGCCTGCCTGGCAAGCGTCTGGTACCAAAATGAAAATTGTAAAATACTATACCGTATTTCCCCCAAAATAAGACTAGTCCTTATATTAATTTTTATTCCAGAAGACACAGTAGGGCTTACTTTCAGGATATGTCTCATTTTTTTCATGTGCAATAATCTGCATCAACTTATGTACAAAAATCTACATTTATTTATATATTCATGTACCAAAATCTACTTTTCTTCAGGTACAGTCCTCTCATCTTTGGGAACATCGTCCTAACTCTCGACACCCTGAACTCCAGTCTGAATTTGCGGGTCCAATTTTGTAGAACCATTGCCCCAATCTCTCGTGTCCAGCAGTAGAGCTCTCCTTAACTGAGCACTTCGTGTCTGCGTAGCCTGCTCTTGGTGCATTGGCGACACAGCTGTCATTGATTTTATTGAATAAATTCTTCTGCCAAGTCACCACCTGTTGGAGGCTAGGCGCTACAAAGTTTCCATTAAATCAAGTTAATTGAAGACTCATAATATAGGAGTGGCAACAAAAACGATGATAGTTAAGATTGATGGTTTAGCCCATAATCCTAGCACTCGGGAGGCTGAGGCAGGAGGATCACTGCAAGTTCAAGGCCAGCCTGAACTGCATAGCGGAAACCCTGTCTCAAAAAAAAAAAAGATTGATGGTCCAAGTTGGTTGTGGTGGCGCATGCCTGTAATCCCAGCACCCAGGAGGCTGAGGCAGGAGGATCACTGCAAGTTCAAGGCCAGCCTGAACTGCATAGCGGAAACCCTGTCTCAAAAAAAAAAAAGATTGATGGTCCAAGTTGGTTGTGGTGGCGCATGCCTGTAATTCTAGCACTTGGGAGGCTGAGGAAGGAGAATCTCCAGAAGTTCTAGGCCAGCCTGGGCTGCACAGTGAGACCCTATCTCAAAAAAAAAAAAACAAAAAAGAATGATGGTCCACACATAAGTGACAAAAAATTGCAGGCAACAAAATTCAGAGAACATTTCTTTATTTTACACGAGTAGATCTTATTTTCAGGGAAATACATAAAAAGTACATAAAGCCAAGAGCTTAGTGAATATCTAAACTTTCTCCTTTATTTTTTTCTTTTGTGTTACATTCCATCCACAGCCCTAGTTTTATTTTTTTTTTCACAACCTTGTTTATGCCACTGAGCTATATCCCCAGCCCTTTTTTTTTTTCTGGTACCGAGGCTCAAACTCACGACGTCACGCTTGCTGGGCAGGCGCTTTACTGCTGAGCTAAATCCCCAGCCCCCAGCCCCCTAGTTTTATTTATTTACTTTTTTTTTTTTTTTTTTTTTGGTCTTTTTGAGACAGTATCACGCTATGCAGTTCAGGCTGGCCTTGAGCTCACTTTGTAGCCCAGCCTGGTCTCAAACTTGCCACAGTCCTCCTGCCTCAGCCTCCCAAGTACTGGGATTACAGGCGTGCACCACCACACCTGGCTTACATTTGCTTTTCTAATAGTCTTGCTGTATAGTTCAGGCTGTACTTGAGCTCACAGCAGAGCTCTTCCTGCCTCAGCCTCCCAAGTGTTGACATTATAGGAATGTACTTTCTCTTTTTATATTGAGTCTCACTGAATTACTAAGTTATCCAGACTAGGCTTGGCTTTGTGATCTTCCTGCCTAGGCTTCCTAGGGTGCTGGGATTATAGGTATGCACCACCACACCTGGCTACTATCTACACTAAATCATTTGCAGCTTTTCCCTATTCAGTTCCAGCTGGGTGGTTCACCAGGCCTGATTCCAGGCTGACTTCTCACCCTTGGGTGGGGATTTCAGGAGGCTCCCGGAATTTGTGCTGGCAGGACCCGTCCAAAAGGTGCTTTTCTGGGGTGTCGGAGGGAGTTCTGTACCCGCGGGATCAGCCGTGTAGAAGCATCACTTGCCATCTTTTTTTTTTTTTTTTTTTTTTTGGTTCTGGGAATTGAACTCAGGACCTCGCTCTTGCCAGGCAGGTACTGTGCTGCTGAGGTATATCCTGGCCTTTGCTTGCCATCTTACCTGGAGCTGTTCCCTAAATTTTCCAAGGGGGATGGGTCTGCCTCAGTTTTCCCAATGGCTGAAAACACATTGTCCAGGTTGACATGCGTGTGGTGGAGATAGGGCTGCCCCCTGATGGTTGGGGCGCAGGGGTACACGGGCTGGTGTGTGGCCTCTCCTGCCACCTGTCCTGGGTGCGAGGTGCTTGTGCTCACAGAAGCCCCAGTTCACGGACATCCCCGGCTGCTGCAGGCCTTGAGGCCACCTCTCAAGACTAGCTACAGCCCATTGTGGTGGTGCACACTTGTAATCCCAGCACTCGGGAGGCTGAGCAGGAAGATTGCTGCAAGTTCAAGGCCAGCCTGGGCTACATAGTGAGTTCAGGACCAGCCTGAACTACACAGTGAGACCTTGTCTCAAAACACCAAAAACAAACAAAACCTGGCCACCTGCTGAGCTGCCTGATGGCTCCTCTTCTCAAGGAGGCCACCCCACCCAGTGCCTGCCAGTCCAGGCGCTGGCTTGGGCCCAGAGGCTGCCTGTCTTTCCTTTTGGCTCAGAGGGTAGGCAGGATGACCGTGCGGAGTGTGCTGAGACCCGGCTACGAGGAGTGCTGGGTTGCTTTCTGGTGCGCATGTGTGTAAAGTTCTCGTGATTTCTGCATGGCTTTAAGAAGAATTTTGGGACTAGGGATGTGGCTGAGTGGCATAGTGCTTGCGTACCACAGACAGGGCCCTGGATTTGAGTCCCAGCATTGGGGGAAAGAAATTAGGAGTGGTGGTACATGCCTGTAATCTCAGCACTCTGGGAGGCTGAGGCGGATCACAAATTTGAGTCTAATCTGGGCAATTTAGTGATTTAGCGAGACCTCGTCTCAAAAAAAAAAAAAAAAAAAAAAGGGTCTGGGGAATTTAGCTCAGCGGCAAAGCTCCTGCCTGGCAAGTGCAAGGTCATGGGTTCGGTTCCCGGTACTGGAGAAAAACCAAAAAAGAAAAAAAAAAAAAAAGAAATAGGGATGTAGCTCAGTGCAAAGGCCCTATGTTCAATCCCTAGTACAAAGAGAGACAGACAGGGAGGGAGAGAAGGCGGGCGGGCACAACACTGAGTATCATGGCACCTGTGGAAATTAAGCAGCGTGCTGGTGCTGTGGGTGAAGCTGGGGCTGGTGCGTGCTGGGCAACAGGGTCTCACTATGCAATTGAGGCTGGTCTTGAACTCACTTTGTAGCCCAGGCTGGCCTCAGACTTGCCACACTCCTCCTGCCTCAGGCTCTCGAGTGTTGGGATTGTAGGCGTGCGCCGCCATGCCCGGCTTGGCGCTGGGCTTTTGAGAGTAGGTTGCCCATGTGAGCTGAGGGGTGGCTTTCTCCGAGAAATCTACAAATTGCGGGTCAGTAGGGGACTCCTGTGGCCCTCCCTTTTTGGTCCATGGCCTCTTAGAGCCCTGTTTGCCTGATAGAGATTAGCGCTGGTTCTGCTGGAGATTGTTCTTGCTTCAGGGTCCTAGTCTAGGAGTATGTGCGTGCATGTGCGTGCACGCATAGATGCAGCGCTGGGCTCAAACCCTGGGCCTTACACGTGAGAAGGCAAGCGCTCTACCTCTAGTTACCCCCCAGCAGGGAGCCTGGTTCTTAAGCCCCTGAGTGACTCCGGGTAGCGCCGTGCTAAGGGAAGGTCACCTGTGATTGGAAACACGGGGCCCAGAGCCCTACATGGCACAGCTGTGGGCTGGGGTCTGTGGGCCGCCTGTCCCCACCTTGTGGAGGTGGAATGGGGTTGGGACGGGAGGGGCGATGTCTGACGGACGCTTCTCCCCGAAGGAGGGGAGGCGGAAGAGCCAGTGCTGTCCAGACAAGTCCCCGAACTTCTGACCTTGGTGGCAGACACGCTTCCTGACCTGGCAGTGTCACTGGCGTCCATCGTGGCTTCCCCTGTAGGAGGATGGAGGACGCTGCTTTGTCCCCGGAACAGGTGAGAAGCATTCCAGGGTACCCTGGGGCTGGGGCTGGGCAGCGGGAGGGGTGTGCCGCCGGCCTGTGCCTGTGCCCTTCATGGTTGCCATGGCAGCAGAGAGCTTTCACGAACTCAGGCCTCCATCCATGCAGACAGGAACAGGAAGCCAAGTGAAGAAGGGACAGGCTGGTGACAAGCATTCTGTAGACACGGCGATTGTGGGCACCCTCCCAGGGGTGGGCATTAGGGAGAGGGTGCACTCCGTGTCAGTGCCGGAAAGGTGAGGGTTTCCTGCCGTGTATCCCCTTGCTGTCTCTTGCTAATTCCTTGGACTTGGTTTGAGCTTTCCTGAGGTCCAGCCCATCTCGTGGTGTTCACACACGCACCACAGACCTTGCACATTTGGGCCAGGGAGGGAGGGTTTCCCCGTATGTGGCCGGCTTCATCCAGCAGAGCAGAGGGAAAGGTGTAGATGTCTTAGGCAGTTCAGGCTGGCCTCGAGCTCACTTTGTAGCCCAGGCTGGCCTTGAACTCGCAACAATCCTCCTGCCTTAGCCTCCCGAGTGCTGGGATTACAGGCCTGTGCCACCACGCCCAGCTCCAAGATGAGTTTTTAACCAGAAAGGCAGAAAACCAGAGGAAATTTGTACTATTTCTACAAAATTATAAACCTTACTAATTATAAGATTTTAAAATGGTATTAGGCCAGGGATATAGCTCAGTGGCATAAGCGCCTGCCTGGCAAGCGTAAGGTCCTGAGTTTGATTCCCAGTACCTAAAAAAAATGGTATTAATCCTTTTGGGTATGATGACCTATGCCTGAGAGGAGAACTGCTTAAACCTAGAGTTCAGGGCCAGCCTGGGATCTTAGCAAGACCCCATTTCAAAATTTAAAAAATAAAGACATCACTGAGAAGATAGCTCAGCAGCACAGCACCTGCTGGGCAAGCTCAAGGTCCTGAGTTCAGTTTCCAGTACCTCCAAAAAAATGGTTTTTCAGAAATAAAGATGCCATTCAGAGCTGGGTGTGGTGGTGGATGCCGGTAACCCCAGTACTCTGGGAGGCTGAAGCAGGAGGATTACCTTGAGTTCAAGGCCAGCCTGAACTACATAGTGAGACCCTGTCTCAAAAAACAAACAAATGGGGCTGGGGAGATAGCTCAGCGGCACAAATGCCTGCCTGGCAAGCACAAGGTCCTAAGTTGGATTCCCGGTACCAAAAAAACCCAAAAACAAACAAACAAAAGACTCCATTAAAAAAGGGTAGAGGGCTGGAGATAGAGCTCATGGTGGAGGCCTTGGGTTCAAGCCCTGTACCACAAAAAATAAAACAGAAACAATAGTAAAAAGCATGATTCATGAGTGGTGCCATTTGTGCCTGTGAGGTTGGTGTTGTCTTATTTTCCGTGTCAGTTCCTCTCCATCCCAGTGCCTGCGGGGCCTGCTGCTGAGCTCCCATGTCACACATTCTGACACTCAGTGTGTTGCGGCTCCTTTAGCCGTCTCCCCACTCATTGTGAGGTGCAGACAGCTGGGGCCTCCACAAAATAAAAATGAAAAGTGCGAAGGTCCTGAGTTCAATCCCCAGCACGGCCCTTAAGAAAAAAAAAAAAAAAGATTTGGTAAAAGCACTTGCTTCCCCACAGATGGGGATCCCGTGGAAACCCTCGTTCCCCTCCTTTTCAGGACATGACCAGTACTGACACCACGGCCCCATACACCTCGGCCCCGGCCGCCCAGGCTGAGGAGGCAGGCGGCGCCCACCTGCTGGGCTTCTCCGACGAGATCCTGCTGCACATCCTGAGCCACGTGCCCAGCACGGACCTAGTAGTGAACGTGCGGCGTGTGTGCCGGAAGCTCGCAGCCCTGAGCCTGGACAAGAGCCTGGTGCACAGCGTACTGCTGCAGAAGGACTATCAGGTGCGGTGGGCGAGGGCAGGTGCTGGGGACCAGGCCACTGGGGAGCAGCCCTTGTTTTTTTTTTTGTCTTTTTGAGACAGGGTTTCGCAAGGCAGTTCAGACTGGCCTTGAGCTCACTGGGTAGCCCAAGCTGCTCTTGAACTCACAAGGATCCTCCTACCTCAGCCTCCCGAGTGCTGGGATTACAGGTGTGCGCCACCACGCCTGGCGCAGCCCTTGTTGACCGAGCAGTCCCCAGGGTGCTCTGAGTGACAGGTGGGGCGGAAGGGCAGGTGCATGCCAGCAGGTAGGAGGGCATGGGAGCGTGTGGATGTGGTGTTAGGAGGGACCCATGCCTTGGGCATAGGGCCAGGTAGACGCCTAGGAGAGGACTTGCTGGGTTCCAGGACAGGTGACAAATTCTTTGTGAAGTTGAACCTACAGTTTGATGGTGCAGTGCTAGGTACCATTCTTTTTTATGTGGTATTGGGGATTGAACTCAGGGTCTTCCTGCTGAGCTACAGACCCCAGCTTTTTCTTTTTTTTGTCTTTTTGAGACAGGGTTTCACTGTGCACTTTAGGCTGCCCTTGAGCTCACTTTGTAGCCCAGTCTGGTCTCAAACTCACAATGATCCTCCTGCCTCGGCCTCCTGAGTGCTGGGATTACAGGCATGAGCCACCACGCCTGGTGTAGACCCCAGCTTTTTACTTATTTTTATTTTTTAAAATTTTGAGACAGGGTCTCACTAAGTTGCCCAGGCTGGGCTAAAACTTATGACCGTCCTGCCTCAGCTTCCCAGAGTACTGGTATTATAGGCATGTATGCTCGATTTATGTTGTTCTTTGCTGTGACCACATAGTATTCTGCAGTGTGGACCAGCCGCCATTTGTGTGCACACTGCTCTGGTAAAGGACGTTGGAGTAGTTTGTCCCTTTTGGCTCTTGTGACCGGTGCTGTGCTGCCCGGGGCTGTCTATTGCAGTCCCCATCTTCAGTTCCTGGGTAAATCCTAGGAGCGCAAGTGCTCACTCATCCTACTTAGTGTCTAGCAAACTTTTTCTCCTGTGGCTGTACCCTTTTGCATTCCCACGGGCGGGGCTCTCCCGACTCCTCACTTCCCTGTGGGACCCGGAAGCCTTCAGCCTTTCCCTTCCTCTCCTGCCCATCCCTGTCCTGCAGGCAAGCGAGGACAAGGTGAAGCAGCTGGTGAAGGTGATCGGCCGGGAGATCCAGCAGCTGAGCATGGCCGGCTGCTACTGGCTGTCGGGCAGCACCATCGAGCACGTGGCCCGCTGCCGCGGGCTGGTCAAGGTGAACCTGTCCGGCTGCCACCTGACCTCCCTGCGCCTCTCCAAGGTGCTCTCGGCCCTGCAGCAGCTGCGCTCGCTGGCCATCGACGTGAGCCCCGGCTTTGATGCCAGCCAGCTGAGCAGCGAATGCCGGGCCACGCTGAGCCGTGTGCGGGAGCTCAAGCAGACACTGTTCACACCCTCCTACGGCGTGGTGCCCTGCTGCGCCAGCTTGCAGAAGCTGCTGCTGTACTTTGAGATCCTGGACCGCACGCGGGAGGGCGCCGTGCTCTCGGGCCAGCTCATGGTGGGCCAGAGCAATGTGCCTCACTACCAGAACCTACGCATCTTCTACGCGCGCCTGGCACCTGGCTACATCAACCAGGAGGTGGTGCGGCTGTACCTGGCCGTGCTCAGCGACCGTACACCCGAGAACCTGCACGCCTTCCTCATCTCTGTCCCCGGCAGCTTCGCCGAGAGCGGGGCCACCAAGAACCTCCTGGAGTCCATGGCCCGCAACGTGGCCCTGGATGCCCTGCAGCTGCCCAAGTCCTGGCTGAACGGCTCGTCCCTGCTGCAGCACATGAAATTCAACAACCCATTCTACTTCAGCTTCAGCCGCTGCACGCTGTCCGGCGGCCACCTGATCCAGCGCGTCATCAACGGCGGGAAGGACCTGCGGAGCCTGGCCAGCCTGAACCTCAGTGGCTGCGTGCACTGCCTGTCGCCGGACTCCCTGCTCCGCAAGGCCGAGGATGACATTGACAGCAGCATCCTGGAGACGCTGGTGGCCTCCTGCTGCAACCTGCGCCACCTCAACCTCTCGGCCGCGCACCACCACAGCGCCGAGGGCCTGGGCAGGCACCTGTGCCACCTCCTGGCTCGCCTCCGCCACCTGCGCTCACTGTCCCTGCCTGTCTGTGCCGTGGCCGACTCTGCGCCTCGAGCTGACCGAGCGCCAGCCCAGCCTGCCATGCACGCAGTGCCACGCGGCTTTGGCAAGAAGGTGCGCATTGGTGTGCAGACCTGCCCCGGCCCCTTCGCGGGCCACCAGCCCTCCTCTGCATTCTGGTCCCTGCTAAAGAACCTGCCCTTTCTGGAGCACCTTGAGCTGATTGGCTCCAACTTCTCCTCAGCCATGCCGCGCAACGAGCCTGCTATCCGCAACTCCCTCCCGCCCTGCAGCCGGGCACAGAATGTTGGGGACTCTGAGGTGGCCGCCATTGGCCAGCTGGCCTTCCTGCGGCACCTGACACTGGCCCAGCTGCCCGGCATCCTGACTGGTTCAGGGCTGGTGAGCATCGGCCTGCAGTGCCAGCAGCTGCAGTCCCTATCCTTGGCCAACCTGGGCATGATGGGGAACGTGATCTACATGCCTGCCCTCTCTGACATGCTGAAGCACTGTAGGCGGCTAAAGGACCTCAGGTGAGGTGTTGGAGGCCAGTGGGGCTGTGGGGTGGAGCCCAGGGAGGCCGGCACAGGCCTGTCTCGGGCAGGGGACTGGGTGTGCACAGCAGGGCTCAGGGAGGCCTGGGGAGCTCAGTGTAGTGGGGCTGGGGGGTGCATGGGGATCCCGGGGCTCAGCATTGCGATCGATCCTGGTAGTTCCCTGAGTGATTGTTCTGCTTGGTGCTGTGTGCACTCTGTCTGACCTTCCTAAGCGCCCCGTGAGGGTTTCAATTTTGTGTGTGTGTGGGTATGTGTGGTACTAAGGATTGAACTTTTCACACTGAGCCACATTCCCAGCCCTTTTTTTTTTTTCCCCCAGCCCTTTTTAATCTTTTAAAAAATTTTACCAGGTGTAATGGTACATGCCTGTAATCCCAGCGCTCAGGAGGCTGAGGCAGGAGGGTCGCTGTGAGTTCGAGGCCAGCCTGAACTGCGTGAGACTCTGTCTCAAAAAGACAAAACAAAACAAAAAAACAAAGAAATTTTTAAAATTTTTTTGGTACCAGGAATCAAACTCATGACCTTATGCTTCCCAGGCAGGCGCTGTGCCGCTGAGCTATATCCCTGGCCCAATAAAATTTTATTTGAGCCCAGCCTGGGCTCAGATTTGCCATCCTGCTGCTTCAGCCTCCAAGAGTGCCAAGATTATTGGGGCATGGACCCCATCCCCAGCTTGACCCAGGGCGTTCCGAGCCAACTGTGGCGTTCGTGGGGGATATGTAGGAGTTAGCCAGGGGCTGCAGAGCCGAGGGTTTGGGGTGGTTTGCAGCATGTGCAGCAACCCTAGAACTTGAACATTGACCAAGGCCAGTTGGTTCAGGTTGGCCAGGGCATTACAAGGAGGTGGGAGGGGCAGGCAGGTGAGCTGCTAAAGGACTTCTGCGGAGGTCTTCTGTCATCCATGTGCAGTGTGTGGGACAGGGGTTGGCCCAGAAGGAGGACACAAGCTGGGCATGGTGGCACATATCTGTAATCTCGGGACTCTGGGAGGCGGAAGCAGGAAGATGGCAAGTTTGAGCCAAGCCTGGGCAAATGTTGACTTAGTGAGACCTTGTTTCAGAATTCAAAAAGGACTGGGTGTATAGCTCTGTGCAGAGGCCCTAGTGTCACGTACATAAAAGAAGGTTGGGCGGATGCAGACTCCAGGGAGCAGTGGCCTGGAGTTGGTGGCAGGACCATCCAGGAGAGTGGAAGGAACTGGGAGCCACAAGCCAGCCGTTGTCACTGGGCCCCTGGCGTTCGCAGAGCCCGCTGTGGGACAGATCCACGCTGAACTGTGCTAGGAGGAAGACGGTTCCCATGGCAACCCAGCATTGACAGGGTGAAAGTTTGTCAACATCAGAAAATCTTGACAGATAAATTTTTTTTTTTTATTTTTGGGGGATCTTTTTTGAGACAGGGTCTCACTATGCAGTTCACGCTGGCCTTGAGCTCACTTTGTAGCCCAGGCTGGTCTCGAACTTGCAGTGATCCTCCTGCCTCAGCCTCCCTTGTGCTGGGATTACAGGCGTATACCACTATGCCCGGCTTGGTAGATAGATCTGATCTTGGAAAATCACCCAAGATGCAGCGCAGGCAGCAAAGGCCAGTTCCCCACGCCCAGCAGCACCCTGCAGGCTGAGGCAGGAGCAGCCGGCCCCTCTGTGAGTCCTTAGCTGTGGGGTGGGCAGGTGCAGGCAGCACTGGGACCACGAAGTCCTGTGCTGCCCGGGGGGGTAGGGATATCTGCCCTTTCCCCAGATCACTCTGGCCTTCCCTGCGGGCCAGACACTGAGCCATTGTCCCCAACGGTCCCTGGAGGATGGTGGCTTCTGCAGTCCCCATTTCACTGCTGAGGTTTGACATTCAGAGCAGAGCTGAGGTCTCATTGTCCGTCGCCAGCAGCTTGGCCTTGGCCCCCAAGCTCTGCTCAGAACGGGGAGATGACCCGTCCTCTGTCAGCCTCCTTTGTTACCTCCGGCCTCAGCCTGGCAGGAAGGGAGCCGGATCAAGCTCCCGTCACAACCTTGCACCTTCCCGGGCTCCCTGCCCTGCCCTGCGGTGTCCCAGCGGCTGTGCCGAGCCCTCTGGATTGCTGCTGGTGTCAAGCGACAAGCCAGGGTCAGCCGGACTTCCAAATAGCCTGCGCCTTAGTCCACACCCCGGCGGCTGCGGCTGGACCCTGGGCCTGAGCAGACGTTGGCAGTTTGCCAGGGCGCTGACCCTGTGCCCCGGGCCTGCGCGTCCTGTGCTGCCTGCGGTTTCAGTGCCTGGCTGCTGGTTTACAGGTCCGACTCGAAGCTCATGTTTTAGGGTCCTGCGTGGTATTGAGGGAGGAAGACCCTGAGTATGGAGTGTGCCTCTGCAGCGAGCCTCCGTCCTTGTCTGCGTCTGTCCCTGTAGCCACCAGGTACCACGTCCCTGTGACTTACTGTCACAGTACTGGGGATTGAACCCAGGGTTTTCGAGCTGAGCTACATCCCCAGCTCTTTTTGGTTTTTCTGTTTTTTCTCCGGTACCGGGAACCGAACTCACGACCTTGCGCTTGCCAGGCAGGCGCTTTGCCGCTGAGCTAAATCCCCAGCCCCCGCAGCTCTTTTTTAAAGTTACTAAATAGCCCAGGCTGGGCTTGAACATGCAGTCCTGCTGCCTCAGCCTCCCAGAGTGCTGACATGGGAGGTGTGCGCACGCCTGGCTGCTCTCTGTTCTCCCCACTTCTCTGTCCTGCGTCCCCACTCCGTTCTCGCCTTGCTTGGGCCTGGGCTGGCGTGCTGGCTCTTCCTGCCGAGCAGTGGTGAGAGTGTGGGCGGAGCACCGGAGGGAGGGGACGCGGCTCTCCTGCTCGGTCTGTGAGTCCTTTCCATTAGGAACTGAGCGTTTCCTACACCCTCGGAGCCCGCGAGTGTGTGAGCGTGAGCGAGTGTGTGAGTCAGCTGAGGTCTTTCTGGGGCTCTGTTTGCTGTCTGTTTTATGCTTTCCGCTGACCTATTAGCCTGTGTGCTTTTTCTGGCTGGACCATGGCCAGAATGTCTGGTGGTTATCAGGGAATGCTGGGTAAACACAGAAAGCAGGGAAAGTAAAACAGTGCATTTTTGGGGCTCACAGAGCTGGGTCCCCAAAAGGCCCAGGGGGTGTGGCGGGCAGCTGTGGGACGGAAACTGGTCCCGAAGAGGATGAAGAAGCTGCAGAGGGGCCAGGGATATAGCTCAGTGGCATAAGCGCGTGCCTGGCAAGTGCAAAGTCCCGAGTTCGATTGCTGGTACCAAAAAAAAAAAAAAAAAAAGCTGCAGGGGATGCAGGGCAGGCACTGACACAAGGAGGTGGGTGGCGGGCGCTCAGGCAGGAGCAGTAGCTGATGGGCCGGACGTTTGCCCAGGAACTCTGCCCGGGGACGCTGCCAGGTGCTTGTCACATGCCGACGAGGAGTGACGCCTTGGGAACTGCAACAGCCTTCATGGAGGCCCTTGCAGAGGGACAGTGGCCGTGCCAGGGCCCCGCAGCTGGCCCACAGGGGAGCTGGACATTGAGTGTTTGTGTGGCCACGTTTGGTGGTCACAGAGGGCCTCCGGGGTTTGGAGGCCCTGTGATTCCTGTGGTCAGGCTGGAGTGAACCTGACTGCAGCTTGTACTGGCCTCGCTGTGTGTAAATGCCAACCTCGCCCAGAGCCACAGAGCCGTGTGTACCTGAGCTGGGCACTGCCTGTGTGGGACATGCGGCCCCTTTCCTCTGGGCTCCTGCATCCTGCAGCAGTGAGCCTACTGCCTGGAGCAGGAGCCACACAGAGGGATGTGTTCTGGGCCTGGGGGGACTCCTTGGCCTGCTTTCCAGAGGAGTGTTCTCGAGATGGCACCCTCGGGACGCCAGCCGACCTCCTGCTCCTGCCACCTGTCCCCCACATCAGGAATCTGTCTTCCAGACTGGTCTCCTGGTGAGTGAGCTGTTGCAGGAACGAGTTGTTCGGCTGCAGACTCAACTCGGGGCAGAAGAGGGCACCTTCTTTCCCACGACCAACCAGGCCTGCCCTGCCTGCGCTGGAGGGAGGAGAGTCTCACCCTGCCCGTCTGACCTCAGAGCCCGGGCAGCCCCCGGGCGGAAGTGAGAGCTGCTGGAGCCAGGCCTGACACCGCCCCAGAGCGCTCAGTGCCTGGACACTGCTCGCTACCCTGCTGGGATCCAAGCCCCTGAGTCACCTCTGGGGAGCAGGGTCTGGAGCTGCATCCTGGCTGGGAAGGAGCAGGGCTAGGGACCCCTGAGGTGCCCATCAGGTCAGGGTGGATTCCTTTTCCTGCAGGTACTGATCACTGCCTTGGGTCCTTTTTCCCAGCTGTGCTGGTGGCGGCCATGTCCACGGCACAGGGAGGCTGGCGGGGTAGAAGGAGGGACAGGATGCTCGCACTGGGTCCCCTGCCTGCACACTGCCGAGGGCTTCCTTCAGGGAAGGAGGCTGGGGGTGCTGTCAGGTCGGGAAGGGTTTAAAAGTACTGTACTGTACACACTGGGTTTTGTGACCCAGTTGGCCTGGGAGATCTGGGGCCGGTCGTGCAGACCTATGTCGCCACCTAGTGACGGAGGCCGCAGGTGCGGCCTGGGCATTCCATCCCTGCGGCCGGGCAGGGAGAGCGCTGAGGAACTGCTGGTGGCAGCCACCTGCTGGCAGGGATCTGTGCGTCCTTCTACCCATCCTGGTGTGCAACCCTGCAGAGCCAAAATGTTCCAGGTCCCAGGACCTCTCTCTCTTTCTCTCACTCACATGCATACACACCAAATAAAAGAACCAAATTGTATGTTTAAATATTTTGAAATCAGTTCAAAATTGAAATCCAAGCTGGCACAGTGGCACATGCCTGTAATCCTAGCACTCTGGGAGACTGAGGCTGGAGGATGGCTTTTTCTTGTTTGGTTGGAGTTTTTTAAATTTTATTTTATTTATTTATTTATGGTTTTTTTGAGACAGGGTCTTGCTATGTGTAGTTCAAGCTAGCCTTCAATTCACTAATGTAATACAGGCTGGCCTCAAATTCACACTGATCCTCCTGCCTCAGCCTCCTGAGTGCTGAGATTACAGGGGTGTACCACCACACCCCTATGGATGGCATATTTAAACTTAGGTTTGGCAATTTACTGAGTTAGTGAGACCCTGTGTACAAAGGCCCTAGGTTCTATCCCCAGTATTAAAAAAAAAATCCAGAGGCCGAGGCAGGAGGATCTCCAGTTTGAGGCCAGCCTAAGTTACATCATGAGACCCTGTCTCAGTAAAACCAGACCAAAAAACAAAATTCAAACCTGGAGGTAGACTACCACTTCTTAGCTACCTGGGCTGTACTGATGTGGGGGACTGTCATGTTCTTGGAGAAGGGGACAGAACCTCATTGTCACCTTCACAGCCTAGAGAGATGTCTGCCCTGCTCCTGACTGTCAAGATTCCTCTTATGTCTTTTTTTTTTTTTTTTTTTTTTTTTTTTTTTTTTTGGACAGGGTCTCACTGCAGTTCAAGCTGGCCTTGAGCTCACTTTGTAGCCCAGGCTGGCCTTGAACTCACAACAATCCTCCTGCCTCAGCCTCCCGAGTCCTGGGATTACACGCGTGCGCCACCACGCCTGGCCCTTCTGTTTCTTTAAAGGCAACATTTGGTACATGTGCTTAAGATGAGGCTCATACTCTATGCATGCAACCAGGGGCAGCTCCCAGAGGTTGCCTTTTGCCACCCCAGCGTATAAGTGGGCAGCAGGTGCTGCGGCTTTTCCAGATCTTTTCCTGGGAGGACCTATACCTCCCCCACAGTCAGGAGCCCACAGGAGCTGGGCATACATCAGTTAAAATAAAAACCAGCCTCTACCTGGGCATGGTGGCACACACTTGTAATACCAGCACTCTGGGAGGCTGAGGCAGGAGGATCGCAGGTGAGCCCTGGTTCAAAATAAAAACTATAAAGGGGTTGGGGATGTTAGCGCAGTGCAGAGCCACAGAACTGGAAACAAAGATAAAATAAGAAGAGACCTTGCCAGATGTGGTGGTGCATGCCTGTAATCCCAGTACTCAGGAGGCTGAGGCAGGAGGGTCGTTGTGAGTTTGAGGCCAGCCTGGACTACAAAGTGAGCTCAAGGCCAGCTTGAACTATATAGCAAGACCCTGTCAGAAAAAGACAGAAAAAAAAAAAAAAAAAAGAGACCAGTCTCAGTAGCTGCATTCAGCTGTTTAGTGGCTACGGGAAACCACTGGTGTCCCCCCCAGGGCACCCTGCTCTGGTGGGCTGGGTCTGTTCTGTCCCTGCAGTGCTGGGAGGGGAGCCCAGGTTTCACACATGCGAGGCCAGCAGGGGGCTCTGCCTCAGCCGCTGTCTGGCCTGTGTTTTTGCTGACCCCTCTCCTCTGTTACCTGAGTCACGCACCCGTTGATGTTTCCTGGGTGACAGGGCCAGTGGGGCTGCAGCCCGTGATCCTGGCCCTTGTCTGCCTGTGTCCTGGGGGACAGGGCGGCCACCGTGTCCGCTCAGCTCAGCCTCATGCAGAGGGTCGCTGTGCAGTGTGACCCACTGCACTGGGCTGAGAGGCGGCCCTGCTGCCTCCGGAGGGCGTGGCCTGCCTCACTCGTCCTGGCAGCTCCTCTCCTCAGGACACCCAGCGAGGTCCAGTGTGCAGTTCCTGCGGGTCCCCTCACAGACAGCTGGTGACCAGGGCTCGTGTGCCCCGTGGGCTGGGCCAAAGCAGCTGGCCGTGGCTTTCGCAGGGGACCGGTCTTCTCTGTGCTGTGCACGGAGTCCGGGGTGGTGGTGGCCCCCCTCTCCAGTGCTCTCATTGTCCCATCCCTGTGGTCAGACACAGGTGACAGCACGGCGGGGGTGAAGCCTGTTCTGCAGACGAGAGCCACCTCCTCGGGAGAGTCCGTCCTTTTGCATTTCCTCCCAAGCACCTGGGCGGGCTGGCGCGGCACGGGGCCCTGTCCCCACTCTGCAGCATTGCACACTCCCTCCCGTCTCCACCAGCTCACGGCACCCTTGCGCCTGCCCGCCCAGCCCCTCTGCCTCCTGCCCGCTTTGGACAGATGTCCCTACCTGTTAGCAAGGCCTCCACGCTGCTGTCAGCCTTGACGCTGCTCCGGCCAGGGGAACAGTGCCTCCTTCAACTGCGACCACAAGCTTTTAAAGCGTGAAAAGGTAGCTGGGTGCAGTGGCACACAACTGTCATCCCAGCGCTTTGGGAGGCTGAGGCAGGAGGATCGCACGTTCAAGCCCAGCCTGGGGTGCAGGCTCCTGTCCCCTCCTTCCCACCCCATGCGGGCCCCGCCCTGTCAAGGTCCCACCCAAGTTTCTGAAAATAGCTGTGGGCTGCACAGGGTCCTGCATCCCTCTGGAGCTGAGTCTTGCCTTCTTGGCTTAGTGCTCCCGGTGCTGTCCACCCACTGTCACGGCTGGAGTGGCCTCTGCCCAGCTGGGGCCTCTGCCCAGCTCCTTCCTCTGCCTCCCTAAGGAGTGAGCGCCCAGGGCAGGGCTGTGGGTGGGTTCACATGTGCTCCTTCCTCACGGGTGTGCGGGGAGCAGGATGGGGTGGAGGGGGTGCTCCATGTGCCGCTGGCACCAGGTCCCCCAGGGTCCCATCTCCCCAGGGTCACAGGAGCTGGGGGCTGGGAACTAGGGTCCCCGTCCCCTCACGTGCCCCTCTGCCCGCAGGCTGGAGCAGCCCTACTTCAACGCCAACGCCCAGTTCTTCCAGGCGCTGAGCCAGTGCACCTCGCTGCAGCGCCTGTGCCTGGTGTCCCGTGGCGGCACCCTGCAGCCCGACGCGGTCCTGGCCTTCATGGCCCGCGGCCTGCACGTGGCGGTGTGCCACATGTTCACCGGCGAGTCGCTGGCCACCTGCAAGAGTCTGCAGCAGTCCCTCCTCCGCAGGTGAGTGGCGGCGGGCTTGGCCTCGGTGGGGGGCGCTGGCCTGCCCAGCGGCGACCCGGATTGTGGGGAGCAGGGGTCTGGCTCCCTCCCGCTGCCCAACCCCGTGTTCTCTGGCTGCCTGTTTCCTAGATGCCAGGACACCCACCACCGGCCTCCAGAGTTGTTATGCATTTGCCCACACTGTGCTATTAATGTTTCCCTGTTGTATAAAATACACATCCCTGAGTTCTTCTCCCTCCAACTTCTTATTTTAAGCTAATTTTAGAAAAGTTGGAAAAATAAATGCATTGTAGCTACCAGATACCATTAACCCTAACGTGGCACTCTGGTTACTAGGGCACAGTGATCAAAACAGAGACACTGGCAGGCCAGGAATAAAGCAGACCTTAAGCCAAGCACGATGGCCTATGCCTTTCATCCTAGCATTTTGGGAGGCTGAGGCAGGAGGATTGAAAGTTTGAGCCACGCCTGGGCAACCTAGCAATTTAGTGTGAGCCTGCCTCAACATAAAAAGATAAAAAAGGGCTGGAGGCGTAGCTGAACATGAAGGCTCTGGGATCAAGCCCCAGTACTGCAAAACAAGACATTAGCAGTGTGACCAAGCAAGTGAGGTTAGCACTCGGTCAGTTTCCCACGACGCCCACGCTGCATGCTGGGGTCGGCCGCGGGCACGGCCGGAGCCCTCATGGTGCCAGTGCTTGGTCTCCCCCGCCCACTCCAGCCCTTGCTGTGGCTCAGCCTCTCCTAGTCTTCCACATCCCTGATGCTGAGGTCCAGGTTGGTTGCTTGGCAGTGCCCACCTCAGGCTGGGGCTGTCTGGGGTTTTCTTGTGATTGTGATGCTGCATTTTCGGCAGAGAAACCCCGTGGGAGACACGTGGTCCTCTCAGTCAGGCGCGTGTGATGTTGTGGGCTGTCCCAGGCAGTGTGCACCTTGACGGCCTGCTTAAGGTGGCGCCTGCCCAGTTTCTCCGCTATGAAGTTGCCCTATCCCTTTCTTTCTTGATGGAACCTAGAGCCTTGTGCATACTAAGGTGACAGTACGTTGCCCAAGCAGGCCCAGCAATCCCTGGGCTGTAGGGACCCTCTTGCTTCAGCCTTCTGAATAGCTGGCACAGCAAGTACATGTCACCGTGCCTGGCTTTCCCGTGACTATTTAGTGTCTTTTTGGTGTTGGTTTCGTGCGTGTCCTGGCTGGTTCTGTTTCTGGCTGTCAGTGATAACTGCTACTGTCACTGACCTTCCTGTACCTCAGATCTTGACTTTCTAGCTCTGGAACTGCGGTCCCGGCATGGGGGAGGGTATTCCAGGTCAGCTCCTCCCACACTGCCGCACCCCCGGATTCCTGGTGCTGGGAGATGGAGCTGACACCTGCAGAGGGGCACTTGGAGGCCCTGTGGTACTTGGCTGGCTGGGCCATGGGACCCCCGCAGCTGGTCAAGGGAGGTGTCTGCCAGGTGTGGCAGTTCCCCTGCTGGCTGTCCTTTCCTCTGGCTGGACCAAGGGGAGAGGCTGGGGTCTTGTGCAGCCAGGGGTGCTGGGACAGTTCTGGTGCTCTGTCCACTGCGCTGCAGCGTGGCACCGACCCCTCCCTCCGGGGATGTGTTCTGCTGAGGGGGCTGGAGTCAGGCTCAGCGCGGGGACGCGGGGCCCCTGGAGCGGCTGCTTCTCTCGCCTGTGTGCACACACAGCCTTCTCCAAAGCAGGGCACGTCCTTGCTCACTGGGGAGGTCGGAGCCGAGCTGTGATGAGGGCAGCCCACACGGTCTCGAGGGTCCGAGTGTCCCAGCCCAGGCGGCTGCCCCTTCCTTCCGATTCTCGGCCCGCTCCCCATGGCGGGTGGTCCAGGCCAGCTGACTGAACTCGGCTCCAGCCGCCTCGCTCAGATACGGCACCCTTTGGCCTCCCAGAACATGCAGACCCTGGCCCTGTCGGGGAGGAACACGCACGTCCCCAGGGTCAGGTTCCTTGTGCCCCCTTTAGATAGCTGACTCTGTGAGGCGGGTGCTCGGCAGCCCTCCTTTCCTCGAGCCTTGTGCCGCCTGGGCTCACTGGCAGCAGGATGGGTACTGATCACTGTCGAAATGGGAGGCAGTCATGGCCAGACCCAAAGCTGGTGGGGCCAGGTGGACGCCCAGGGGAAGCTGAGCTGCCCATGGGTCCCTCTGCCCTGTGTGTCTGTCCCTGCCCCGTCCCTGGCCCAGTGCCCGGGAACCTGTGACTTGCTCCCTGCGAGGGATCCAGGACCGCGCTGCCTGCAGCTGTCCGCGTTCCGGGGTGGCCCTGGGTGTGCTCCAGGGCGTGAGCCGCGTGGGCTGCCTGGTGCTCTGGCCAGCCCTGTGCTGTCCTTGGTTGTCCAGAGCCTCCAGAGCCCAAGGGGAGCGTCCTCAGCACGTCACCGTGGGGAAGCAGAGGCCCTGAGAAGCGCACGGAGCAGCGAGGCCACAGGCCGCCGTGAAGGAGGGGTTCCCATCAGAAGGAAGAGGAGTCCCCCTGCGCACACGGCTCCCAGGGGGAGGTCTGGCCTGGCCTGGCCGGTGTTAGACCCTGGCTCCACCCACCAGCACCTCACAAAGCAGACAAGCAGGCAGACAAAGAGGGGAGAGCCTGCTCTGCCCCAGGCCTTTCTCCAGCCCTGCAGCCAGCACACGGCCCGGGGGGGGGGGTGGGAGAGGTCTCGCCCTCGTCACCTCTGCCATGGCCAGCGTCCGGGCCCACAGCCAGCTGCAGCAGTTTTTCCACACTGGCTCTCACTGCCCTGGTCCTGCAGTCCTGCCCAAGTGCCAGCGCCCAGGACATCCCCGGCTGCGCTGTGCCAGCAGCGTCTCTGCAGGGTCCCAGTAGATGGTGCTGTGGTGCTTGGCTTGAGGTGCCCACGGTAGCCTCCCTGCTGCCTCGCTGCTGCCTTCCTCCGTGCCTGCTGGGGAGGAGGCCACAGTTTGGGGTCTTTTTTCTGGAGCTTTGCTTTTTGTCACCCGTGTGCTCCTCCATTCACCTGTCCCTCGCCTGTATGGGATGGGTTCTCACCACTTGTGACTTAGCCAGCAGGCGTGATAGCCCCACAGGCCCGCTGCCCCAGGTCACACCTGCCCGCCGTCCCCACACTTGGCGTCCCTTCTTGTCACTTGTGGCTTCGTGCTGACTCCGCTGAGGCGCGGGCCCTGCTGGGCTCTGGCTTTGTGCCCGGCTGCACCTCTCAGGAAGCAGCAAGCAGCAAGCAGCGGGGCTCGGCTTGCCCCAGTGTCCCGGTTTCCACTGTCGTGGGATGGCTGTGGTGGGGGAGGGCTCTGTGTCCAGCACCACACACCACGTCTCAAGTCGCATTTGTTCTCCGTGTTCAGGATCCACGTCTTGACTGTGCTCTTCCAGATTTGAGACTGAAACCTCAGGGCCTTTTCCTGTTTTTTGTTTGTTTGTTTGTTTGTTTTGGTGGTACCTGGGGTTGAAGCTAGAGCTTTTGCCCTGGAACATAGCCTCAGCCTCCCTAGTGCTGGGATGACAGGTGTGTGGCACCTGACCTTTCCCGCTTTCTTATAGAAAATGACCTGCTATGCAGGCTAGGTGTGGTGGTACCCACCTATCCTCCCAGCACTCTGGAGGCTGAGGCAGGAGGATGGTTGGGAGTTTGAGGCCAGCCTGGGCTACAAAGTGAGCTCAAGGCCAGCCTGAACTGCATAGCTAGACCCTGTCTCACAAAGACAAAATAATAATAGTAATAATAATAATGCCTGCTAGACTTTGGACCTGCTCTCTTCTGCACGGTCCCCCTCTGTGGTGACCCCACATGGGTCTGGACTGAGAGTGTAGGGATGTGTCTTGGTGAACAGGATCCCTGGTGGCCCCAGAGGTTTCAGGCCTCCCTGAGGGGTGAGGCAAAGGCAGCTTTCCTACCCATCCCTCCCTGCTCCTGCCCCATGGCCCGGGGTGCTGGCCTCCGCCTCCCTCTGGTCACCCCAGCCTCTCTGGAGGCTCCTGCCTCTCCTGAGACTCAGCCGCCCATCCCAGCAGACGGAGCTCGTAGACTGTAGTGCAGGGTGCTGACCAGCCCCGTGCGGGGCCTCTGCTGCCTTGGCCCTTGGCAGGTGTCAGTGTCTGTGCTGCGGCTTCTCTTGGGCTCTTCTCCCCTTCTAGCTGGCCTGAGGCATGGGATCTCAGCTCACCTGGCACTGCTGCCCGGGATACCGGCTCCCTTCTGCTGGCCTCCCTGGGTGGCCCCTCTGTGCCCAGGCAGAAGGGTGATGGCCCCTGCCCCGCAGCCCTCCCTGCTGCCCCCCCTCTGGTCTCCAGCTCTGGCTGCCACGCAGAAGGCCTTTGAGGTTGATTTCTGTGTCTGCCGTGTGTCAGGGTGACCCGTGGGCAGGGATCTCGGGCTGGGCTCGTGGGGAGGTAGGCGCAGTGCCCCACGTTCCCCTGGTAGCTCTGTTCCCTGTGTGGCCGGCACCACGCCCCATTGACCGCTGGTCTCTGCTTCAGGTTCCAGGCTGAGAGGCCCGCCCTGAACGTTGTCATCTTCCCCCTGCTCCACGAGGACCTGACGGATGTGATCCGGGACGTCCCCATGGTGCATCTGGATGAGATCACCTTGTTTAAAAGCAGAGTGGCCGAGGAGCCCCCAAACCTGTGGTGGTGAGAGGGCCGCCTCCCTCTGCTGCTCACTGCCGCCGCCGCCCCGCAGAGCCTGCAGCCGTGGGGCCTGTGGCTCGTCACGGAGAGAGGGAGCAGCTCCCGGCCGCCCTGCGCCCCGTCCTGGGCCGTGTCTCCTCTCACTTCCCTTCCCAAGGACTCATCGTCGCTGAAGTCTGGGCTGAGGGTTTGCGCTCTGGGTGACGGGGAGGGCTGGGGGGGAAACGTGGGAGCAGCAGTCGGGCCAGGTGGGCTGTGGATACTGTCTGCCCCCAGCCGCGTCCCCGTTGGCCGAGGAGCACCCCCTGCGCTGTGCTGTGGTCAGCTGGTGTTGGGCTCTGTGGGCTGGAGGGGGCGGGCGGGCTTTCTCTTCCGAGACCGCCACGCTGATGTCTCAAGTTTTGCAGCTGCAGAAGTGAGGCGCCCTGTCCCACTGAGACGCATCTTAGGGCCGGGGCGTGGCCGGTGGTGGAGCACTTGGCCAGCAGGTGCAAGGCACGTGGGTCAAGCCCTGGCACCACCAAAAAAAAAGACACATTTTAACCCAATTACGTCTCTGAGATGTTTCCGGCTGGATGAAGTCTGTGGCCCAGGAGGGATCCTGGAGCAGGGACCCCTGGGCAGGGCCCTCAGGTCCCAGCCTGCTTTTTCCCCAGGCCACCTGGCCCCTACACGAGCCGTGGCATTTGACTTTAGAAAGCCCAGGTCCCTGTGAAGGTCACTGTGTGCGTCCGAGGAAACGGACGCACGCTGGCCCTGTTAGAATAACTGGAAACATTAAACCCAGAACAGTGTGTAAGCCTTGGCAGTGATCAGGCCACCCTGTGTCAGGGAATTTTATTTAGGATTTAGGAAAAACTCAGCAAAGCTGCTCTAAAGCCGAGGAGGGACGCGCTCCCATCCAAGGTTGCCCTGTGCCCCGCGGCTGTCTCTGCCTCGTACTCGCAAGACTGTCCCCCTCTGAGGGGGCTGTGACTGGCCCTGTCCTCCTGGACCCCCGCCCCGGTGCCTCCCCAGCATCCCAGGCGATAGGGGTACAGAGCCCACCAGGCCTTGCCCCCTGCCCTCCTCCTCCTGTGTTTCCATGGTAACCAGTCCCCCCAGTCTTGGTGGTGTCCTGTGCATCTGTCTGCTGGTGTTGGTCCCTGCCCTGCACTGGGTGTTCAGGGCTAGCAGTGCCTGTCAGCGCTGCCCCTTGGGGCCCTCGGAGGGTTTCGGATGGGCCTGGGGCCAGAGCAAGGGGACACAGTCCTCTGCCCGCCTTGACCCTGGTCCCATTAAGTTGTGCAGGTCTGGCCCCTTGTCGCTCTTCCCTGTGTCCATCCCTGCCCTACCGGGAGGGGGTCCCCATGCTGCAGCCAGTGGAGGGACCTGCTGCAGACTGACCCCTGGGGATGTGGCGTGACACGTCCTCCAGAGCCGCAGACGGGTCCCATCCTTCCCCACAGTGCAGGCCAGGACAGACTGCCTGGGCTGGGCCAGCGTCCCACACAGCTGTTGATGAGGCCCTGGTGGGTGGCAGGAACCCCTGCTCCCGTTTCTTTAGAGCGTTAAATTGGCACCTGCATTGGCTACTGTGTGATTAGGGTGATCAGGCAGGTGCAAGGGGTCTCCAGGGCCAGCCCCTTGTCCTGAGTGAGGAGGGGACAGGCTGGGCAGTGTGGCCCAGGAGCGAGGCCCCTGAGGCTCTGGGTGCCCTGGCTTTGTACCCTCTCCTTCCCTCCCCAGCAGCCCCCACCCGGCAGGGAATTGTCTTCCCACTGGGAATTTACATCCAAAGGCTGAAACTGTTTTTGTGATGTGGCTCGCAAGCCTGTTGTCATGAGCAAGCGGTTTTACGCCGCAGTGTAATTTATGCTCATAAACGGCTGGGGGAGGGGACCGTGCGCCGGAGGCCAGGAGCACAGACACCTTGGGAGCCCCCCCAAACAGTAGACCTTATACTTTCACTGTCCCCTGCAACAGTCCTTTGACTTAGAGGGAGAATTTCCACTCCTTCTACACCCGAGACACAATTCAGCAGATGTTAATAACGTGCTTATTTTCGCTAAGTGCTATTTTGGCACTGGTGTTAATTGCGATTTATATTCTGCAGCGTTTTACGCTGGGAAAGGAACCCACCCTAATGGTCCCCAATTGGCAGGACTGGGCTCTTAAGTGGCAGACCATATGCTGCCTGCTGGAAGGAGCGCGGTCAGCATGTGTGCTGCAGCCTGCGTGTGCACGCCTGCGTGTGCATGTGTGGTCGTGTGCCGGGCTGTGTGTGTGTCTGTGTATGTATGTGTGCACGCACACGTGTGTGGCTCTGTGCAGGGGTGTGTGCGCCCATCTGTCGGCCCGTACATGCCAGCATGAGCGCACGTGCATGTGTGCACATCGCCCGCGTGTGCGGTCTGCAGCACATGAAATCTGCATCTGCTGAGCGTGTGCGAGTGTGTAAGAGACGAGTGGGAGGAGATTAGCAGGCTCATCTTTTGTTCCTTTTTTCTCTTCTTGGCATTGGGAATTGAACTCAGGACCTCGTGCTTGCCAGGCAGGCGCTGTGCCACTGAGCTGTGTCCCGGCCCTGTCCTTTGTTCTTATAAAGAGAAATCCGATCCCCTGTGGCTGCCACCTGCACCCCTCATCCCAGGCCTGCTTCTCTTGTCTCCTCTGGGGCCATGGCAGGTGCAGTGCCCAGGGGTGCTGGGCCCTGAGTCCCCGCGGCCTCCTCTGCGGGCCACACTGGGCCCCTGGCCTCCTGCAGTGAAGGCACCTGAGGGAGGACGGCAGAGGAAAGGTGCGTTTCTGGGCCCCGGCCCCCTGTCACGTGAGGTAGCCGGCCCCATTCTCATACTGTCATACCGGACAGGCCCGAGGGGCCAGGCAGGGCCTCGGAGCCAGCATGGCCCGTAGTCTAGGCGCTAGACCCTGCCGGTGCCCGTCCCCTCAGCGTCGGTCAGCTCTCGGCCACTCCCTGCCCGGGACCCGGCGTGCAGAGCGGAGGCGCACATGGCAGGCAGGCCTGGGCCCAGAGCAGCAGGGCTGTGGGGGCTGGGGGCTCCAGGACTGCACCCCAGCCAGGGCCCTTGAGGGATATTCTGTGGGAAGGAAAAAGGGCACTCGTGTCCCCTCAGAGCAGGGCTGTTCCCCCACTTCCCTTGCCCGCCCGTGATCAGCCCCTTCTGGGACCGAGAGACTGCAGTTTCTGTACAGGGAAGTGAGTTGGGGCCGGATGGTGGTGGCGTGGGTTCCAGCCATGAGACCTAGGGGGAGGCGTGGCCACCTTCTGCAAAGGCGACAGGACTGTCGCTGCCTACCCTTCCCAGTGGCCGCGGCCTCAGCTCCGGGGCCCACTCTGACTGGCCTCTTGTACGTTTGGAGTTCAAGATTCCAGAGGAAGCTTCTAGGGCATACTGGGCACAGTAAACCAAGCTGCCAGCCGTAGGTCCTACACAAGTGACCAACATCATCAACCCCAGGACCTGGTAGGGCAGGTCAGGCGCTCTATCTTGCATTAAAGCACAGGGTCGCTGCCTTGCAAGATGTGCCTGAGCCGGGGGTGGGGGTGAGGCAAGAGCCTGACTCCCCGCTGTGCCAGTGGAGTGTCCAGAGCCAGTGTCCAAGGGCGGCATGCCCCAGGGTGTGTGCTGTGTAAGCGAGTGCGTGTGTGCCCATGTGCATGTGCAGACAGTGCGCAGCTGGCCACAGCATCTTCCCCAGCCCGTGCCACCCCAGACCGTAATCGTCATGTGTGTCTTTGCCCAGAACCGGTGGAGCTCGGCGAGGCTTTTTGCGGGGTGGAGCCAAAGCCTTCCCCGGCCCAGGGCTCTCCCGTACCATGTGACAAGGTGCTAAATGACCATCCCCTGCCTTTTGGTGACCAACTGCCCCATCCCTGCCCAGCGAGGCATCTCATGGTGACACACGCTCCCGACTGTGGTGTTTGCTCTGACACCATCCTGGGTGGGTGATTTCATGTGAACTTGTGGCATGTGGGAAGTTTCAAATAAAATGGATTGATTTAGAAAGCCGGCCACTGTGGTCCTTTCAGTGGCGACACTGTTCACCTGCCATCCCTTTCGTGCCCAGGGTGGTTGGCCCCGTTCGCGTCTATGGTGGGGGTGGGGCCCCGAGCTTGGCCAGGGCCCCTACAGATGCTTGCATGGAGACGTGGCACCTACACGGGGCATTGGGTGACAGTGGAGTCAGTCTGCTGGGCTGGGGACACCAGGGAGGGAGAGACCATGTGGATCAAGGCAGGAGTGACACAAGGCTGCCAGTGTGGCTATCCCTGCACAGGGCTCCGTGTGGCTGGGTGGAACAGTAGTAGCTGGCTGAAGGTAGGCAGGGCCAAGTCGGCCGCCCCCAGGCAAATACACTTAGTAATGTCAGATATATACTCTATCTCTCAGCATCTTAACCTTACTTATTTACTATTCATGTTTATTTAGAGACAGAGTCCCATCACATCTGTGAATTGGCCAAGGTAAATTCAAACTTGCCATCCTCCTGCCTCAGCCTCCCAGACTGCTGGGATTCGGCCCTGCACTATCCTACCTGGTCCATTTTAACTGTGTTTAGCCCCTCTTTACCTTTCATCCCTGCCCCCCTCCTACCCTCCACTCTCCATCTCTGTGACATTGGCTGCTCTGGGGACCCCCTGTGAGAGGAACCCTTTCAGGTGGCAGCGAGAGCATCAGCTGAAACAGGAGCCCCGACCTGGGCTCCAGGGAGCGACAAGCACAGAGGGAAGAGGGGCGGAGGGTGGACTCCAGGGCTGCTCCAGGACGGAGTGACAGGGTGAGGCTGGAGACTCTCAGCACAGCTCGCCCACCTTGGCTGGGAAGGCCTGGAGGCCTACATGCATTGTAGCCGCTTTTTTTTTTTTTTTACTTGTTTTGGTTATTTGAGGCAGAGTCTTACTGTGTAGCCCAGGTTGGCCTCAGACTTGCAGCGATCCTCCTGCTTCAGTGTACACCACCACACCCAGCTGTTTTCACCTTTGAAATTAAATGCTTAGCTTGCTGAGTTGCCCAGGTTTGTCTTCAACTTGTGATCCTCCTGCCTCAGTTTTTATGTATCTTTCTGAAGTTTCTGTGTATTCCAGAAAATATGTTGGCATAGTAGAGCACGCCTATAATCCCAGCACTCGGGAGGCTGAGACAGGAGATTGTTGTGAGTTTGAGGCTAGCCTACGCTGCGTAGTGAGACCCCATCTCAAAAACAAAAAGACAGAGCCAAGGATATAGCTCAGCAGCACAGCGCCTGCCTGGCAAGCACAAGGTCCTGAGTTCAATTTCCAGTACCAAACACTCCCCACCCCACAAAAAAAAAAAAAAAAAAAAAAAAAAAAAAAAGGATAGCTCTTCCAGGGACAGTGTCTAGAGGCTTTCACAATAGCCCAGCACTTGCCACACTGCCATAAGCTTTCCTACAACACGGCCTCTAACACAGTTAGGCCGTCCCAAACCCCAGGGAGTAGGATTGTTTACTTCTATACCAAGAAGAGTGAGAAGGCCCCCAAACCTGCATGCGGTGTGTGCCCAGGTAGACCCTGAGGGGTTCATGCTGTGTGGCCTAAAGTTCTCACGAGACTGTCTGAGACGAAGAAGCACATCAGCAGGGCTCACGGCGGCTCCGGGTGTGCCAAGCGTGTCTGCGACAGGATCCAGCACACTTTCCTTAGGGAAGAGCAGAAAATCATGGTGAAGGTGCTGAGGGCACAAGCGCAGAGTCAGAGGGCTGAATCAGAGAGGAAGCTCTTGGAGTAATAACAGGTGGAAAGGCAAAACCAAAAAACAAACCAAAACCAAAACAAAAAATGATGATCAGCTGCAGGTGGTGGCGCACACCTGTAATCCCAGCACTCGGGAGGCTGAGGCAGGAAGATCATTGTGAGTTCGAGACCAGCCTGGGCTACAAAGTGAGCTCAAGGCCAGCCTGAACTGCATAGGAAGACCCTGTCTCAAAAAGACAAAAAAAGACAAAAAAATAAGAGTATATGTCCCCTCTCTGTCTGCACCATGTTCAAGTGAATGGTTCAGGGCATTAAGCACCTCCCCATGGCTGTGCAGGCATCTCAAAATCCACTTGCAGAGCCCTTCTACTTCCAAAGTGAAATCCTGTCCACATTTGGCACAGACCCCCCCACTCGTTCTTCCCAGCCCTGGCACCTACCCTGCTGCTTTCTCTCTACAAACGTGACCACTCTAGGAACCCCGTAGAAGTGGAGTTGTAGCTGATGTGGTAGCACACGCACCTGGAGTCCCAACACTCTGTGTAGTGGATTGATGACCGGAGGTCAACTTATAACCCCCAGCTGAACTGAGTGAGTGTGGTGCTGGGTGTGGGGGGCCCACCTGAGGACTGCTGCCAGCAGCGTAAGAGGCAGACCTGGAGAAGAAGAAGCAGGCTGTTGGGAGCTGAGAGAGGCAGTGGGGAACTGGCTTTCCTGATGAACTTGGCTGTTTTCATCCTCCGAGGAGCTCAGGACCTTGCTGGCACTGAGACTGGCTTCGATTCCCTTTGGGGAGCTCTGGTCCTCACTTTGAGAATCGCTTCCTGGCTCCAGAGGGGAAGATGGTGCACTGCCGGCCTCCTGGAAAAGCTTGCTGCATTGGCTTCCCTGATTGGAACTCGGCCATCCTGATCATCAGAGGAGCTCGGGACCTCGCTGTTGCCGACGATGGCTGTGGTACCTTTTGGGGGAGCTCTGGTTCTTCTGAGCATCACTTCCTGGCTCCAGTGCAGATCCCTCAGCCTGCTAGCACAGGTCCTTCATCCTGCTGGAACAGACTTTGTAGATTCCACCACTGACCTTTGGGTCTTCCCAGCAGATCCATGAAACAGGCCTGCATGAGATGTTGTCATGGGCTCTGGGCCTCCAGTTGGATTCGTGGGAGGCATTCTTATGAGCTCTGGGTATTCAGCTCAACTCATGTAGGACATTGTTGTGGGATCCAGGCCCTCAGCTGTATTCCTTGGTCTTAGTGTGTGGACAGATTTCCTGCACTCTTTTGTGTACTGTTCTTTGGGTGACTATTATAAATAATCATATGAAGTATGTGTCCTGTATTATATTGTTCCCCTTGCAAAATAAGCCCCAAAGCAACACACTCTGGGAGGCTGAGTCAGGAGGATGGCAAGTTTGAGCCCAGCCTGGGCAATTTAGCAATTTAGTGAGACCGTCTCAAAATACAAAATACAAAAGGGCTGCAAATACAGCTTAGTGCAGAGGCCCTGGCTTCAACCTCCAGTGCTACAAAAGGAAGTGAACTCTCAGAGCATTTGTCTTTGTGACTGGTGTGCTCCTTTAAAGCACACTTTCATGATACACCATGTAGCACACGTCAGAATCGCTTTCCTTTTCAGCACTTTGTGATACTGCTTTGTGTGTCTGGACTCTACTTATCTAGTCACGGTCATTGAACACTTGGGTAGCTTCTGCTTTGACTCCTAGGCTTAATGCTGCTGTGACCATGGGTGCAAACATCTCTTCAAGTCCTTGTTTTATTTCTTTTCGGTACCCCCCACCCCATTTTTAATGCATATGAGGTATTTCCTGTCAGTACAGAGCGTCGTCAGTCAGATTGATTGATTGATTTTTGGTGTTTTGAGACAGGGTCTTACTATGCAGCCCAAGCTGGCCTTGAATTCATGGTGATCCTCCTGCTTCAGCTTCCCAAGTGCTGAAATTATAGGAGTGTATCACCATGCCTGGCTTTCAGGCAGTTTTTTACTGCCTCAGCCTCTCAGAGTGCTGGGATTACAGGTATGCACCTCCATGCCTGGCTTGAGAACATTTTCATCACTTGCAAAAGATTCCCTGTGCCCAGAGCTGGGTGTGGTGGTGTACACTTCTAATCCCAGCACTCAGGAGGCTGAGGCAGGGAGGCATACTGTGAGTTCAGTGCCAGCCTCAGCTACACAGTTAATTCAAATCTAGCCTGAACTACTTACTGAGACCCTATCTCAAAATGCCAAAAGAAAAACAAAGAAACCCCATGCCCATAACAGTCTCTCCTGTTTCCCCTCACCCCAGCTCCTGCCAACCACTAACCTGATTTCTGTATCTGTGGATCACTGGGAGGGGGTGGCGGTGTATACTGCTTATAAAAAGGATCCCAATATGTGCCATTTTGTGCCTGGCTTTTTTCATTTAGCCTAGAGTTTGTAGGTTTCCCATCCTGTGCATATAAACTCCATTTCTTTTGATGGTCAAATAATATTCCATTGTCTGTATTCAGGCACATTTTGTTTATCCATTTGTCAGTTGATGGGCATTTGGGCTGTTTCCACTTTTTGGCTGTTGTGGGTAATAAATAATGCTGCTAAGAAAATGAATGTACGAGTTTTCTATGGGTGTTTTCAATCCTCTTCAATGGATATATACCTATGAGCAAAACTACTGAGTAACATGGCAGCTCCGCCCAACATGCTCGGGGATTGCCAGCCTGCTCTCCACAGCAGCTGCACCATTTTCCATTCCCACCAGTGACCCTGGAGGCTTTAAATTTCTTCATATCCTTACCATCTCTTATTATCCTCTTTCTTGTTTTTGTGACACTGGGGATTAAACCCAGAGCTGGACAATCTGCCTCCCCTAGTCCTTTTTAAATTTTTATTTTAAGACAGATTCTTGCTAAGTTGCTCATGTTGGACTCACACTTGCCATTGTCCTGCCTCAGCCTCCCAAGCAGCTGGGATTATCACCAGGTCGCTTGGATTCTCAGCCACTTGTAGGATGGAAATAGGACATGGGCTGCTTCTTGACCCTGCTGATGACGGTCACCACTGCCACCCTCTTCTCAGGTCCCAGCAGAGGGGAGGGTCCCAGAATGGTAACAGCATGGGGGGATTCTCCCCCGCATACTAGAAATTGAACTCAGGGCCTTGTGCTTGCCAGGCAGGTGCTGTGCTACTGAGCTATAGCCCCAGCCTGCGGCGGGGGCGGGGGGCGTGTTCTTGCTCGACTGATACAGAAATCACAAATGGGCAAAGTGCAGAGCTTGATGTGGAGGACACCAGC